ATGTCGTACCCATTTTAAAGGCGGGAGGGTACACCATCAAACCAGTCGCGGTTTGCAGGGGTGACAGTCAACCTTATATCGAAAACATTGCAAACGTTTCCACAAGTACATCTTTGCCGACAGCCTCAACAACATCAACGTCTACATCTATTACTCCGGCAATTGACGGCAGTTTGGCATCCGGAACGAGTTCGAGTTCATCTTCGACAACCACTGGCATGCATTCAGCCTCAGATGCATCGAGTTTTCAAACCAAATTTTCTCCACTCGTCTTTATCATAATATTAATAATTAGTTCTTATATAGTTTCATGATGTGTATATATAAATTCTGTAATGTTTAATTTCGGGTGTGGCGGTTTATTATTATTATTATTATTATTATTATTATTATTATTATATTGCATACACACGTAAATACTTCGATTGTGAATTAGATTATGGTAATTATAATATTATTGTATACTTTAAATAAAGGGTCTTCTCGTGAAACGAAAAGTAAAACAACTATTATACGTGACGCACGTGACTGAATGCTACGCGCGTAATACGTAAGTACTGTAAATGCTACAACTCGCTCAGTTCCTTTCCAAAAATCCATGTTGCAATTATCACCCATCCCACTACATCAAATCCATGCATGAAGCCTCTGACCGCAACGGTCCACACGGCCGCGGCTGAAACAAACAGGGCTCCGATCACCAACTCCGTCTCCCCCAATAAAACAATCGTCGGCGAGGACATCGTGGCAAAAACCGTAGGAAGAAACATTAGTACTTTCATCGTTCGTCCGTTACACTTCGAATACCCATTCCAAAACAATAAAATCAATCTAGACGCGATTGGTATATGGAAGATGACACACGTAATTATCACAATGGGAATCGTACAGATCACGTATATGGGGAAGAAGAGTATGGACGATAGTATATGAAGGAATTTAATTTCGTAGTAGTACACTCCGGTGTAATTTTTATAATTGTGATTTTTTTGGGGGACGGTGATGTAAAAATAGTTCCAGGTGAGATTAACCAGTTTCCATGTTTCTTCAAAAGGTCTCGTTATTGACGGTGTCGGGTTACCTTGAGTTTCAGGTGTACTCATCTCCTCGACGTCACCCTCATCGTTGTAATAGGTCTGTATTGGTATATACAGGGTTGTGTAGAGTGTGTAATAGATTATTTGAACTAGGCAAATTGGAAAATAAAGTGCGACGGCAATCGGAGAGAGGACGAAGAGCTGTATTTTTAGATTCGGACCGACGTAATTGTTCAATAGTATACCGGAGTACAGATAATACAGATTCCGCGGGAAGAAAAGGACGAAAAGAGAAGTGATCGATAGCGTGCAGAATAGGAGGATCGGGATGACGTGGATAACAAATTTTAGAAAAATCAAACACGCACTTATTAATGCGAACAAAATTTTGTTCATTTTTGTATTTTATTTTTACTATTACATCGGGAATGTAGAAAGGATTTCTCTGATTTGGATTATTAAAGAGTTGAAAACTTGAAAACGATTATTTCTTATATGTTGATTTAACAAGTTCATCGTACCGTGACTTTTTTTGCTCTTTCTGAATATGGCGTTATTCAAAGAGTTTCCGAATTGAAGTCCGGGTCTAACCTTGCCAGTCAATTACCATTTATTCTCCCGTGAATTGTCACACGAAGGTTAAATTTGTATCATTACAAGCGACAATATATGGGTTCCCCAACATCGATGTCAGTATGAAAATTTTACAAAATGACAACCGCATACTCTGCAAGAGAAGAAATTTAGGGGTACGAATTTTTCATGATCGAAGGATGTCTCCAAGACAAACAATTCTCGCGCGTGGTATCAGGTAGCCAAAGGTTTTTTGCTGCTTCCTAAGAGATTCAACCGTCAACGCTTCTAGAATTTTTATTCTTACGTCGTCAATGTCACAAGACGGTGAAGTGATGATCTAATTTTAGAGTCTACAGAAAAAATGTATTTATTTTTAGGCTTCTTGAATTTTCAATCTTCTTTTACTTTACGTCGGTTAAAGAAAAACAAGACCCTTCCTCAGAAGACACTTCTAATCGGGTCAAACAATTACCCTTTTGTATGCTGATCATAAACCGGGCTGATATGAAAATACAGATTAGGCTAGAGTTCATATGCCACACATCGGTTGACTTTCGCCGATATAGAGAATTAAATAAATTTCTCCTTTTGATTTAAGAAGCGATGCGTATAGTTGCAACCGCATAGACCAGCCAATTAAACCGCATCAGCACTTCGCTAATGCCAAATCTTAACCTTAATCAACTGTATGTCTGATGCAGACTAGTACAAGCCCACAAATAATTAGATAACATATCTTTAATTTTGATTGCAAAGGAATTTAGAGGGGTTAGTGTTAATTTTAAATAGATTAAGATTTTACTTCCTGGTAGGATTGAGTACTGTGCCTATTTGCCTTTCTACATTAGGCAATAGAACCAATGATGGGAAGAAACTTTGTACGTACCGGGCAAAAATCGATCTTGCCAGTAACAGAATGCAAGATTAATCTTTCTTCGAGCATATATACTTTTATATTATATTTTCGTCGCGATGATTTCGTCGAAATGAATTATGTTACACGCATGATGACAAATGGTGAGGAAAAACCAAAGCAATCTTTTTTTTTTTTTTTTTTGATTGATGTTTATCGTTGAATGCAAGGCTAATAAATTAGGATCAGTTCATTGCCAAATTTAATCATATTCTAAGTATTTATAAAGTGCACATCAAAGCAAGTAAGTACAACACGCATCAGCACATTAGAGTGTAAAGAATTTTCTAATTAAACCATTCAAAACTGTATCAAAATAAAATTAATTTGGTTAGATTGGTATTCAGGCAAGGTTCCTCGCCTAGTCTCGCACATAATACCATATACTGTAATTCACCATGGTGAGTTATAACCCCCCTATTGATAATAATTCCAATAATAATAATAATAATAAAATATGAAATCAATTTTTTTTATCGGGGATTATGTGGATTATGGTTTTATAATGGCATGTGATCGATTCCAAAATTTTGGTCACATAGGGGTGACATAACCTAAATAGGCCATATTGGTAAATGGTTGATTTAATGTTTTTAGATACAGTAACTATAGTTACAAATTAACATTAGTTTAGGAAACACTTGCTTTAAAAATTTTAATTAATATAAAAAAAAATTTTTTTAAATGTTTTTTAAAGGAAGGATGTGTTTTTTTAATCTATCATTAGACTAATATAACGTATACTTTATTATGTATTTAAAAAAAATATTTATAATTTGAATAACTTTTATACAATATATTAATTTATCTATAATTAAAATTAATCTTTTCTATATACAACTTAGAAAATAATATTATACTTTCTTTATAATTTGAGTTATTCTTTAATTATAAAGTTTTGTACTTACAGATCATCATTATAAATATTTCAAAAATCTAATAAATAGATTAAAAATCTAAATCTTTTTTATTTTTAATATCTATTCTTTAATAATTTCTTTTAAATATATATTATCACTGAAATATATATTTTTTTAACTATCTTTTTTTAAATTTAGAATTAATATATCTTTTAGAATTTATTTTTTTACTAATAATTTATTTTTTGACTTTTTTTATTATTCCTAAAATTTTTTTTATTCGGTTGAACAAAATATTAATTATTCTGATTTTTTTATATTGAATCTTAAGATATTTTTGAATAGTCTTAATTTTTGTTTTTATATATAGTATATATTTACATATTATATTGATAAAGACTTTAATATTATTATTATATTTTTTTGATTTATTTATTAATTTTTTTAAATAACTTTTTAATTATCTATTGTTATTTTTATTTTTTTTTATTAAATATTGAACTAGTTTATTACTTGCTTCTTTTTGTTATTTTTTTTTTTTGAGTTTTATATTTTTAACAAACAAATATAAAATATATTTCTAATTATCTTATTTTAAATATCTAAAGTATAAATAACTTATCATATATTAAATTTATCAAAAAGTTTTTCTATTAATCTTGAAAAATATCTAAAATATATATTATAAATTAAATTGATTTCAAAAGATTTTTCAATTTATCTTTTTTTTTTTTTTATCACTTTACTGAATTTAAATTTTTTTTTATTTGATTTAGTTTAATTTTATTTTATTTTTTTTAATTTTAATTTTTGATAAATATCTTGATACTAATATAAATAATTAAATTATTTTATATTATAATAAAAAAAATCTTTCTTAAATCTAATACTAAATTCCTAAAGTATTAATATATAAAATTTTATAAATTATTTGTTTTATTTGAAAACCAATATTTATAACTCTTTACTTTAATAAAAACAAAATTCAAAAAATATTATAAATCAAAATTTTAAACAATGATAATTATTCTAAGTAATATTTTTTATAGTTATTAGTTTTATAATTTTAATGATTTATAATAAAGTCCATTTAATTTTTATCTCTAATTTTTTTTTTTAATAACTCTTTGTCAGGCTAGTTATGTGTACTTTATTAAACAATTGTATACTATATATTATATATATATCACTAAAATCAAATCTCTAACTAACTTACCCGTCAAAATCTTATATTTATCTAAAATTCTAAGTACAACTTTGAGAGTAATTTATCACTCTGTTAGTAAATCAAATAACAATCCTTCCAATTTCTAACATTATTATCCATGGGTCATTGCTGCAGATCACTACATGAGATTTTAATAAGAATTAAAACCCAATTACTTTATCCCATATTTAATCCCATTTCTTATAATTTTTACAAGTTTTTTGTTTTCACTTTCTTTCTCTTTTTTTCTTTGTCTTATACTTTTGTAACCAGAATTATCTTGCTGATCTTACTTTCTTACTTCCTAGATCTTCTTGTATTTTGCTTTTCTATTAATTCTTTGTTCTTATTTTTATTTAATATCTTTTTATATCTCACATTTCAGACTTGTTTCTGGATCTGGTTGCAAACCTTCTTTTATACTTTTAGAATCCATTTTTTTACTATTGTTCTCAACTTCTTTCCATGACAATTTAGATTAATAGCTTCTTTGATTACATCACCTTCTACTAATCCTGCACAAAAGTTAAGAGTGCTTGAACCAGTTTGCGAGACTGATTCTATTAGTCTGAAGGTCCATCTATCTAATTCACCTTTTTCTCTTCTATTGTCAACTGTTAGTTGTAC